GTTTATATAGAACCAAAAAATTACAAAGAAGTTTTAGAACTTCCTGCTTTTGAAAAAAGAAAATGGTTAGAGGCCATGGATGAGGAAATGAAGTACATGAAGAAATGTAAGGTGTTCACAGATGCAAAGGTGCATACAGAACACACAGAGGTTACAGGTAACAAGTATGTGTTAAAATTAAAAGTTAAAAAATAATGTGTAAATGTGTTGGGATTATGCTGTGTTCAGGCATAAAAAATTAGGAGGGGTGTCAGGGTATAGAATTTTATAGGCCTGAACCCATATATGTTTCATTAACGAGCTGCCATTATGTGCAGATGAGAGAAAAGCTGAATCATCCTAAGCTGATGCAATGAGGTGAAACCAGAAAGAGCCCAGGTGCAGAGATGAGGTCACCTGGAACCCGATTGGACTGGACAGAGACAAGATTATGTATAAATATGGACTGTGTCTGTGATATGTTCTCTTCTTCTGATGTGATTTTCTGCCACGCATGCTGTCGGACTGTGTGAAGACTTCTAGATGTGCTGTAGAGACCTGCCTGTATATAAGTGTACATGTGGGGGGCATGCAAACTTGATTTGGTGTTGTTCTGAGTCTTCGTTCATTTTTGCTGATTTTTGTTTTCTCCATTCAAATGTATTGGACGGTCCGTCCAATGCATTTCAATGAGGAAAAATAAAAGAATCGGCGGGGATGGGCGAGGACTCGGAACAGCGCCAGGTTGGGTTTGCATGCCTTTCACGGGCTGGACTGTCGATGCCGGGCATTTGGAGCGTTTAGCTGCTCATTTCCATTGTTTAATTTTCCAAATCAGGTTTTTCTTTTTCTTTCGGCTCAAGTCTTCTTACCTAGTAATTAGCACGAATTGCCCAGAGTCAAGAAATTACTGTAGACATCATCAGTTGCATACTGAATTGTCTAAGTCACCCATCAAGTCAAGAGAAGAGATATTGATGTATTTGTAGCAACTGTAGCATCATAGTACTGAAAAATAAGGTATCATAACCATGGGAAATCTGTTATGTGCTGTCCTTTGATTTATGGCAATCTTGTGAATGAGTACTAACTTCCAAAATGTCCTGGCCTTGTCCACGAAAGAACCTCCACCAGTGTCTCCTTTAACTATCACTGTTGCCTAGTACTGTAGCTGCCTTTTAGAAGTTTTTCCACCCTATTAGCATTGGATCTATTATTTTCTGCTGATGTATTGGTTACTCCAGAAAAGAGTGGGTGCCTCTTAGTTTCATATTTGAATTTTGACCATTTTACATTGAGTGGCCCTAATAAGAGTCCAGACATGTGTCAGGGTATAGAATTTTATAGGCCTGAACCCATATATGTTTCATTAACGAGCTGCCATTATGTGCAGATGAGAGAAAAGCTGAATCATCCTAAGCTGATGCAATGAGGTGAAACCAGAAAGAGCCCAGGTGCAGAGATGAGGTCACCTGGAACCCGATTGGACTGGACAGAGACAAGATTATGTATAAATATGGACTGTGTCTGTGATATGTTCTCTTCTTCTGATGTGATTTTCTGCCACGCATGCTGTCGGACTGTGTGAAGACTTCTAGATGTGCTGTAGAGACCTGCCTGTATATAAGTGTACATATATGTAAATATAACCGTCAAAGAAGAACTGGTAAAGTGTCTTCATTTACTCTGCGCCAGAAGCACATTTTCTGATTTATAAACACCAGGCACTGTTTCAGTAACACCTCTGGTTTTTATTGTCAGTTTTTCTGACTACTACTTTCAATCTATTATACACTATTCTTAGATATCTGACATGAAGCTCTTGACATGGTAGTAAGGAAAAAAAATAAAGCAGTAGTATGATTTGGAACGGGAAGAAGTAATTTTGTTGCTGCCATTGTGAAATAATGTACTACAGATCACCCAGAAATTTACCAGTAGATCTAGATATCGCTTCTGCCCACCTGTGGTCTAGAGAGGGCTCATCTAGTATGTGTTTATGGTTAGAGTGGTTCATCCTCTTGGTCAATGCAGATGTGAGAGATTCAGCCCCTTAGACTGAAGAAGATCACTATCCAGGTGTTATGTAGTTCCCTTAAGTATTATCCATGATCATACACAGAACAACTTCCATCTTCCATCTCCCCATATGGTAAGGAGGATTGTGGTCTTGAAAAATTGGTCTTAAACCAGCGAGATATTTGGTGGGTAGAACCAGGTAGATCAAATGTATCATGTTGGGGGGGAACTAATATCAAAACATCACTTAGCTGACTCAGTTTTTAAAGATGACTAGTAATATATCCCTTTCCTTTCCTTTAAAGAACAACAACAACATGGCTCAATGGTTTTGGTTTCTAGCTTTGGAGCCAGAGGTCAGAAGTTTGATTCCCCACTGTGCCTCCTGTGGGTAGAACCAGCCTGTGTGGCCTTGGGCAACTTGCAGAGTCCCAGAATGGCCCCAGAAGAACAAGGGAATGATAAACTACTTCTGAGTATTCTCTACGTACAAAACTCTGAATTGACTTGGCGGCATATGATGATGATGATGATGATGATGATGATGATGATGATGATGATGATGATGATGATGATGGCCAGTCTTTAAAAGAAAGATAGCAAGTCATCAGTTTGAAAGTCTGCTTTTCAGAGAAGCTTTCTTTTCAAAGAAACAACTTAAAGTTCCAAGTCAAGAGTGGGCAATCTGTGGTTCTCCAGATGCAGGTTCTCTCCATCAGCCCTTGGTATCATAGCCAATGGCAAGGAACTCTATGGGTTACAGTCCAACAAATGGGAATTGGCCCACTTCAGTCCCTGTGTCTCACATGGAGCACGACAGTCACTAATCTCACCTTAGAAAGATCTGATGAGAGACCACATGACACGTGCTCCCCCTTTCCAATGTCCTATGGCAATGGCTGGAGATCAACAGCTTTCTAGTCAATAAGTGCTGGCTGCAAATACAACATTGCCTGCACCAATCAGATGTGGCAACTGCTGCTTCTCTTAGTTTTGTTTTGTTTTTCTCTTAGCATCACTTACTAGCCCTCTTGACAGTGCCTTCTTCCACTGCTCATGGCCTATGAAAAGGAGGTAGGGAGCGACATTGTCCCACTAGGACTGGGCAAAGGACTAGTGATTTCCCCACCGCCACCATCATGTGAGACATTGTGATGGTCTTGGACAGCTGGGTGTGGCCTCATTTTGGTGTTTATGGCTTATTAAATCAAAGCTTTCATTGCAGTGTCTGCCCTGCTTCTTCCAAAGACAGATAGGCAGAGTCCTAACATTCATTCTTATATTTCCTGAAATAAGCTGCTTGATGGACCTGCTTCCCAAACAGAAAAGGATCTTTCTGAGCTTGCCATTTTTTTTTCGGTGGGAGCATTTTCTGTCATTCTTTTCCTCCTTTCCCCCCCTCCTTTCTTTTTTCTTGGAATGGACAGTTCAAAGCAGTGTTCCCATTTCAGGCAATCTTTCGATCCCTGAAAGAGAGCTCCGCCATATCTTCAGCTCTGAGACAGGAAAGGGCTGAAACAAAGGCTGGAAAAGTTGCTCTCTTGCATTGTACCTCCAGCAATCTCGCAGCAAGGACGGCCAACGTTCCAAAAGAGCAACTTTCGCCAAGCTCTGACTGAGACTCAAGAGAAGCTCCCGTCAGAATCCCTTTTCGGCCCAGCCAGTTAGAAGAGAGGCGCGATTCGAACCCGCGGCTTCCGCGGATGAAAGGACTCGCCAAAGGTGGCACCAGCCGACGGAGCGCCTCTTTCCCCGCTCGGGTTCCTCCCTGCCTCTGCTTCCCGGGCCTGAGGCGCTGGAGCTACGCGTGGAGCTGTCCGGTGCTGAAACGCCTGGCGGGCGCCGGAGAGACGCGAGGGTCGCGAAGCCGCTCAACCCCGACGCCCCCGGACCTCGGCGGGCAGGCAGGCAGGCAGGCCGGCTGGGCGGCCGGCCGAGCGAGCTCCTCGCCTCCGGCAGCGCAGCAATGCCAGCCGGTGTGTCAACAGCCCCCTTTCTCCCGGAGGTTTCCACAGAGCAGACGGCGCGTTCCTCCTCCTCCTCCCTCTCCCAAGTTCGCCAATTCCTGGGTCCTCGAGGGAGTCGCCAGAGCGCCCCTCTCCCGTCCCGCCACCCTGTTTAAACCAGGTTAAACTGCCCGCCCTCATTTCCTCTCCAGGTCACAGACAGGCGGGCTTTCCCACTGTACTTAGGAGATGATTCGGTCACGGGGAGAGCCCGCAGGGAGGCCGCCGGCTCTGTTTGCCCGGGGCTTAGCGCGGCGCCCTCCAGCCTCCTCTCACCCGCCGGCCCGCCCGTTCGCGCCTTCCCACCGTCGGAGCGGAGGGGCCTCCCCGTGGCTGGGACGCTGAAGGGCCGCCCCCGGGGAGGGTGTGCGGGGCGAGGGTGGGATCGAGGACTCCGGGGTGCCTCCGGCTCTCTCGGGCTCCCTCGGTCTGCCCTCTCCCGCCTTGCCCCCGGCAGCCCCGTCTCCCCAGTCTGGCGAAGAAGCCCAAGAAGGGCTGGAAGCCCCCTAATGATTGGATGAGGCGCCATTACATCATATTTTTTTTAATCTTCCTGAGCTGCCGAGCTGCTTTTTCTTGCATTGGGAAGAAAAGTGCGAGCGCGCCGGTTAGTCGGAGCGGGAAGCACATCTGGGGAGGAGGAAGAGGAGGAGGAGGAGGGGGAGGAAGGCAGCCTTGGGCGCGCGCGGTCCCTCCCCCCCCCCTGCCGGAGCGGTGGCCAGTCCTTGCCCGAACTCCTTCCCAGCCCCAGGTGGCCAGCGCGGAGTTTGGAGGGCGGGGAGATGCTCCGGAGGATGTCCCGCCAAGCGGATCCCGGAGGGCAGAGACGCCGCCGCCGTAGCCGCCGCTGATCGGCGCCTGCCGCTGCCCAAGTGCGGGGGAACATGGGCTTCGAGAACGCCACCGACAAGCGCTGGGGCATGGCTGGTAAGTTTCGTCCGA